TTCAAATTTTTCCTGCTTCTCTTTCTGTTCTCCGCTCTGGTGCGTGATCAAGAGCCATATTTGTTTCCCGTGCAAGTGACCTTTCTGTCATATTGTGTTTGGCAGGAAGTAAATTGTGTCATAGGATAAGCAGATACAACTGCGTAACAGTTGTGTCAGTGTCGGGCAAATAATTCCAAAGTCGACAAAGTCGACCTATACATGACGTCCGCCGTACATGTACATGAAGACATCCGTGGTAGTACCAGCCAAAATACACGATCTTTTAAAGCAACTGAAATGCTTTCTAATCGCCGGAAACTGTATTCCATATCCTGGGACACCAAACAGGAAATGGAGCTTAAAGAAAGGCAAAATGTGTGTTCAGTTACTCCGACTGGCCGAAATGGCGAATGCCGTGAAGAAGCTGACACAATCATGTCACACCGCTCGCAATGTACTGTACTCAAAAGGAAAGAACAGCGGGCAGCAAATGTGAGCCAAGACTATACTGCCTCGTACTGTTGTGTTTCATGCTACCAAGTGTCTCATGAATTTAGCTCCGGAAACATGACATACTGAAGCAGTTCCAATGAGACCTATATCTATAAGCCTAAGAAACTAAATGACTTATAATTATTCCCTGGTCACGGGAAGGTGAAAACAAATAAAAAGATAAATGGCAGGACGAGAATGGGAAATACGAACCGAAAACCTCGAAATGCCTTGCAACGGGAAAGGACGAAAGAAATGAGTCAATCGCTAAGCTACAAGACTTCATTGCAAGAACGAGCAAATCGAATTGATATTCTGCTAAAGCCATCGCCCCTGGAATATGAGCCGAAGCTGACCTCGGGGTGCTCCATGATGGACAACATGGGCACATTTAGCTGAGACGAAAAGCTGGTCTTCAGTGCCAGTATTGTACTCAACATGCCAATAGAACTGTTTCATACTTTGTGGACTCGTTAGCGCAACACAGAGAAAATGGGGCCGAGCCTGATAGCAAAGAAAAAAAGAGATTTTCCAAAGACAGATTAGAGCCAGTCCTGAACGACCTTGCCAGAGTGCTCAAACCGACGCGACAACGAGCTCTGCGTAAGTAAACAACAAAGGACTACCCCACAACTACCACAAGATCGGAAACGAAATACTCAATCTGCGCTGTACAGGTATTCAATTTTTTTACAATATTATCCAAGCGCAGCCTTAGCAGGAAGAAATAGCTAATATGGCTGTGAACTTGGAAGCGGATGGATTTTTCCAGCCGTGCTGCGACCCACAGTTAATTGGAACTTCGCGGCCTGGCACGAGGAAAACATAGATGCAGTGAATGGGATTTTTGGTCCTTGACCTGGGCTTGACTTTGAGCTGATCTACTCACCTCCCACCGCTTTAGGAGCTGCATCTGCGCCTTGATCCTTGAAGGGTATCGGGGATCATTTCCATACTTTGCGCCAGAGGAGTTCTTCAACGAAATCTTCGACTTTTGCTGACGTTTGGAGCTTGGCGCTGGTGCTCGCACGTTTATGGCGAAAGGATAGCAAGAGGCTAGTGCAGAAACCAGGACACGGTGAGCTGATCGATCGCATCCTACAATACCTGGCAAACGTTGCGAGCGTCCTTGGCGGCGTCACAGAGGAGACGTTCTGCGACGAAACGCGACTGCGCATGAAAAAGTACGACAAGTTTGAAGATGTGCTCAGAACAACCATGCATACTTCGATAGTTAGGACAAAACTTACAATAAAGAATTTTACTTCAAGTAAATGAAAGGAATAGGACATACATGTACTCGAAGTATGTACAGTCAACTTCGCTAATAACGGCTGCGAATATAACGACAATTCGCTAATAACGCCTGCGAATAATTATAACGACAATTCGCGAATAACGCCGGACAGCATTTCCATGTCCAGAGCGAACTCCGATCTAACCTGTATACATAATATGTCCGAAGTCTCATTATATTGCGACTTCGGGTATATGGACACTTCGGGAATAAGGACACTTTTCTGATGCCCCGCCGCGTGTCGTTATACGCAAAGTTGACTATATACGAGTTAAGAGTAACTCTCCATCACTGTATCCAGATACTATATACATGTACAGTCAGAAAATGCAACAACTAGGCACAACATTGACAGAGTACTGAGACATCCGAACTTCGGCAGGGCAGGGTTGGGCCTTTTTTTAAACGAAAGAGCTTGGAAGCTCAGGGTCCTACGCTATGCTTTGTTGCTTAGCTCATCGTGCATGTTGTGGGAACTGATGGAAATGTTTCCTGAGACTGCGCTGACTCTGCCGATCACGGGCGTTCTGGAGTCGACAGGATCTCTCTCCCGACGTTTCCTGTGACCGGCGCTGACTCGCCCGTTCACGCCTATTTGGGGGACGACGGGATCTCTCTTCCACAGTATGTTTTTGCTGACGCATCCTATCACCTATTCGGCAACTAACATCCATTCTAATATCATTTCCTCCTCGTCTTCCTATTTCTTTCCAGAAAGTCTCCCTATACATCAGGGAGTCGTACTCTATTGACAGCTACCCTAACGGGTCACGCCGCGCTCCACCCAAGCATGGGTATGATGAGGGACAGTGGCAACAGAAACAAACAACAGCAAACAGAGAGAGATAGCAAGAGAAAGACAGCGATAGTAGTACATCTGGTGTGCGACGTGTAGAAAAGAGAGATGACAAGAGATGCGCACAAAAAAGGAAACAATAATTATTTTTGCAGTTCCGAAACAATCAACCATGTGATGGAGTGTGGGCACCCGAAGTCCCACCTGGACTCCACTGGAAGAACATCCCACGCAGGGATATCAGCGATAGGCCAAGCGTTGAAGAACAGCCATGAGGACACATCGTCTAGGAGTCCACCGCGCTCGAACTGCAATTGCAGGTTCAAACAATTTCCCACGCGTCGTCAGGCAGCGTTACTCTTCTCCCTGCATCACCATCCATCTCCAGTAACCGTCTCCACTCACAGCTCATGCCTCTGCCACCACTGTACTCCTCCGAGGTTCGCAGTTTGAAACCATTCGGGGGTCAGCTACACTACCGCGAATGGAGAGACGAGCGGGTTCGAATCCCAGGTTATGTCTTAAAAAAAATGAAATTTTTTAAAGACCGGGGGATGCATGCAGGGCGCGATAGTGCGGGTTCGAATCCCAGGTTATGTCTTTAAAAAAAAGGAATTTTTTAAAGAATTTATAACATCCCTATGCCTTTTTTGTCTAGGTCATCAAGGCAAAAAGCATAGCGTAGGGCCCTGAGCTTCCAAGCTCTCTCGTATAGCTATGAATAGGATGAAGGCCGCAGACATCACGCAACTACGTTACTTGTTTGACATGTATTACTGTGTATTTTATAACAAAAATATTATTGAAAACCCAGAATCGATTTTCTCGTTCCTATCATCAGTGGGAAAAAACGGAACTAAGGATACAACCAAAGAAACTGAAGTTAAGTACTGTAAATAGAAATGTGTTAGAAATAACATCAAGATACAAGTGCAATGAAACCACTAGAGGAAACGCAAAAAAGGTAACAAGATTACGTAACCAAAGGCGAGAAGGCACTGAACGAAGTGTCAACCTACGAATACAACTTCAGTGCAACAATGTGCTCTTTCTGCTTACACAAAACAGGCTTATGAATACGTATACAAACTGCCTCTAGGACTTTCAACTGTTGGACATAACGCGCACGACACAGTACAGAAAAATGAGAGTCATCATACAGCACCAAGACAGTCAGGAGGAGATAACAAGTGTAGATACACAGCTGACTTCTTACGATCAACACATTCATCCGCCTCATCTCGCGATTCTGGGTTTTCAATAATATTTTTGTTATAAAATACACAGTAATACATGTCAACCAAGTAACGTAATTATTGCGTGATGTCTGCGGCCTTCATCCTATTCATAGCTATATTAAAATTATTATCTCCACGTAGGTTATTTAGATTATAATGCTAGCATTATCCGCCGGGGCCTAGATACAGGTGTAAGCCTCAATATACATGTACAGTGCAGTCCAAATCTACAGAAAAACACTTTTCGCTCTTTTCTGCAATATTCCGTGGGAATTTCTTAATTTGGCGGACATCAGACATTAGAAACTGGATTCTGCGAAAATTATACAGTCTGCGTAATCGCGGAATTCACGAAGACACCGTCACTTCGTCTACGTTCATGTAGTCTTTACTTGACAGAAGGAAAATGCACCGGCCAACGAAGCATGAACCGCACGCATGCATGTACTGTATATGCCATTCTAGATTGTCTCTTAATTTGCTAGATCCTATATATAGGATTTGGGTCATAGTTTTCAACTCAAAATGGGTGTGGCATGAGCATAAGGAAACGTATGTGACCAATTCTTCCTTGTTAGGTCTTAGTAGATATGGAGAGTTGAATAAGATATTTTTTCAAATACTAACATCTAAGGCTCATCATTTCCCTGCACAATATTTCTAAGGCCTGTGCCCTATTTTCGAATCCTATAATTATAGGATTTTAGACTTTACTGGATCTTGTTTTATCCTTAAAATTGGTAGTTTCACGACGGCATGTGCGATATGTCGTCGTGAAACCACCCCGTGCCACGCCTGTAATATTCTTTTGCACATTCACTGCTTCAGTCCTTTCCATGACACCAGCTGAACAATGCTGCTCAAAGTTCCAATCCTTGCTCAAAATGGGTATTCATGATGTCCTATGAATCTAAAAAGTAAACATTCATGCCTCAAACATATATATACAGCTTCTATGAAAACCATTAAGCTGTTATTATGGGTCATGAATGACTCATGATGACCAATAACAACGGCATAAAGGTCACGCATTTTCAAATCCAATATATAGGACTTTGTGCCAGCGAATCAAGAGATAGTACCTACTGTACCGTACGGTACCGTACCATACCGTATGTCTAGAGTACATGCAGTTCTAGCTCTGATTGCCTGTATAAGAGGCTTAAGAAAAACAGTTCTAGTTCTACCGACCAATTCCTAGTGGTTAGCGACTAGCCTTTTCGCCGCCTTTGTGGGAAAAGAGACTGTTGCGGATGTTTGTGCTGTTTGTCGTCGAATTAAGTTTGCGTGCATTCAGGTGCAGAGTCTTTGAACCGCTATATCGCTGTACGAATCTGCTGAAATGGCTCGCACCTCACCACTGAGCTTCCAGGACGCCGATGTGGCGGGAAGCGAGGGACTAACCGATTACCGGAGGCTCTATAAGAAGGAGATGCTTCTGGCGAAAGGAAGCTTCGCCTCCGTGTACCAAATAACAGCGAAGGGAGAGGGAAGCAGAAAATTTGCGGCTAAAATTTCAAAAATCTCCATGAACACTGTCACAGCGGTCAGCGAGCTGCAGGATGTGGAGATAAAGGTGCTGAGACTGATGAAGGAGAGCGAATACGTCTTAACGTTGGTTGATGTGTGCGTGGACCAAGAAAGACCGAACCTTGGCAAAATCATCGTAACAGAACTTTGCTCCGGCACTTTGGAGGATAAAATGAAAGGGATGGATCTGAGGTCATTTGTTTCAAACGCCGAACAAGCGAAACGATACACACATCAGCTGGTATGTGGGCTAGCCGACCTTCACCATCACAAGATAGCTCACAGAGATATTAAGCCGGCAAACATCCTTGTTATGATGGGACAAGACGAACAATGGCGGCTGAAGTACTGCGACTTCGGCCATTCCACAATCACAGATGACCAGATCCTGAGCGACGTGCGAGGAACGATACCGTACTGTGCGCCAGAGGAGTTCTTTTGCAAGGGGTTCACCTTCAAAGCGGATGTGTGGAGTTTAGCCATGTGTGTCGTACGTTTCTGGAAACCTGGTGGGGCAAATTTGATCAGTTCTCCGGCAGCTCCCACTGGCACCATCCACCACTACAGAGGACACATCAAGAAGATTATAAGTGTCTTTGGGGGCATCACGGATACAACGTTCTGCGACACAACAAAGAAGAGAATGGCGTACTTCTACGCCTTCGCAGATCTTTGCAATGCGCCAGCGGGATCTAAACTGCACGCCAACATCAAGAACACGCGCATTCCCCAGACCGCTCTTGACTTAATGGATGGTATGTTTAGGTACGACCCCGAAGCGAGACTTTCTGCTGCTGAAGCTACACACCACCCTTACTTTCAGTAACTGCGACCAGCAGCTGAACCTGATGCTAGCCATGAGAAGACAGTAGCATGCACTGTTCCCCTATGTGTGTACCTGTTTTAGTTTCACTTGAGATTTGAATGCAAAATTGCTAGTTTTTGTGCCACTTGAGTTCACTTTTGCTTGTTTTTTTTTCCTAGTACCAACCAGTGCACCCGCTTTGTTAATAAAAAGAATTTTCCAGCCAATAGTGATAGTTCTTGTATTCTTCTGATTGTTCTCGTTTGTTATTTTTCTTATTTTGTTAGGGGATTTCCCAACAGGCAATGGTGCTGTTTTGCTGGGAACCCTAATATGTGACTTTGTGCGAGCGCAAAACAAAGCAGGCGACCCGGCCAGGCGACAAGATGGAGGCAGCGCATTCCATCTGTCGGCACCAAGACACGCGATTGAATGGAAATCATACTGGAAGTGGCAGGCAGGCAAGAGCAGCTGTAGCTTGGCCGCAGGTTCTGGCAGCAGTAGTATGTGGGTCAGTGCAGCGGGGTGTGAAAAGGAGGCTGAGAAGTGGGCTAGATAAACCATGCAGACATCGAAAGACATTGTTCTTTCTTCCCTTTTACTTTCTGTTTTCTTGCTCTGGTGTTGTTGAGGCTTCAAAGCCCCGAAGCCCCTAAGGGTAGGCCCCAGCGGCAAATGCGAGCACCCAAAGTAGCATAAAAGGGCCTTTTTGTGACTCCACACGATGCTAGCATAAACAACAGTTTTTACCGGCATCCGATACATTTTTGCCAATTTTGGCATTTTGGATGTGGAATTCGGTCTAGATTACACTATGAAACTAGTATTACGGTACTACCACATTGATAATTGCATGCACTACATTCAATTTGAAACTCGGGTATTGAGCCAATAATAAAAGTAGAAAGGAAAAGGACATATGGAAACGAGTTAAGAGTAACTCTCCACCACTGTAACTAGATACTATATACAGTCAGAAAGTGCAACAACTAGGCACAAAACTGACAGAGTACTGAGACATTCGACGTCCTGACACCTAGCTTCAACACATCTCCGTAGCGCTAACCGACAGCCTTCCAACTTGGAAGGTTCAAGGTTATGGAAAGACCAAAGAGGGGAAGGCAAGCGCAACGAAAACGAGCACAAGCTACAGTCCCAACGGAACAAAGAATGTCGATTGTCACTGGACGATGACGAGACCAGTAGGCGATTTGACAAAGCGGTCTAACTACAATTCGAAGCAGCAAAGCAGCACACCACCCAACTTGGGTGGGTCAAAAATATCAAAGATAAGTTAAGAAGGGGGAAGCTTTGCGAGAACGAATTGTACAAGCCGAAATCTAAACTCCTACAGTACTCCTCATGCATGACATTGTGATGGACTAGTTGACTACAAAACAAGTTGTTTCACACGACGTACGTTTCGCCGTATGGTTCGTGACGGCTCATCAGGTGTGCAATTTGAAACTCGGGTATTGAGCCAATAATAAAAGTAGAAAGGAAAAGGACATATGGAAACGAGTTAAGAGTAACTCTCCACCACTGTAACTAGATACTATATACAGTCAGAAAGTGCAACCACTAGGCACAAAACTGACAGAGTACTGAGACATTCGACGTCCTGACACCTAGCTTCAACACATCTCCGTGGCGCTAACCGACAGCCTTCCAACTTGGAAGGTTCAAGGTTAGCGCTACGGAGATGTGTTGAAAAATTGGTTTACGATGATTGCAGAGTAAGACCGTGGTGGTCGATGTTGTTGTTGTTGTTGTTGTTGTTGTTGTTGTTGTTGTTGTTGTTGTTGTTGTTGTTGTTGTTGTTGTTGTTGTTGTTGTTGTTGTTGTTGTTGTTGTTGTTGTTGTTGTTGTTGGTTTCACAAATGCACATTTCACAAATGTTTGCTGAAGAATGTAGGTACATGTGCAATGTTGATCCTCTTCCCTCGCGTATACTGCGCCGTTTGCCAAGTTCTTTTTCCTCTTTTTTTCAAATTTATCCTGCTTCTCTTTCTGTTCTCCGCTCTGGTGCGTGATCAAGAGCCATATTTGTTTCCCGTGCAAGTGACCTTTCTGTCATATTGTTTTTGGCAGGAAGTAAATGGTGTCATAGGATAAGCAGATACAACTGCGTAACAGTTGTGTCAGTGTCGGGCAAATAATTCCAAAGTCGACAAAGTCGACCTATACATGACGTCCGCCGTACATGTACATGAAGACATCCGTGGTAGTACCAGCCAAAATACACGATCTTTTAAAGCAACTGAAATGCTTTCTAATCGCCGGAAACTGTATTCCATATCCTGGGACACCAAACAGGAAATGGAGCTTAAAGAAAGGCAAAATGTGTGTTCAGTTACTCCGACTGGCCGAAATGGCGAATGCCGTGAAGAAGCTGACACAATCATGTCACACCGCTCGCAATGTACTGTACTCAAAAGGAAAGAACAGCGGGCAGCAAATGTGAGCCAAGACTATACTGCCTCGTACTGTTGTGTTTCATGCTACCAAGTGTCTCATGAATTTAGCTCCGGAAACATGACATACTGAAGCAGTTCCAATGAGACCTATATCTATAAGCCTAAGAAACTAAATGACTTATAATTATTCCCTGGTCACGGGAAGGTGAAAACAAATAAAAAGATAAATGGCAGGACGAGAATGGGAAATACGAACCGAAAACCTCGAAATGCCTTGCAACGGGAAAGGACGAAAGAAATGAGTCAATCGCTAAGCTACAAGACTTCATTGCAAGAACGAGCAAATCGAATTGATATTCTGCTAAAGCCATCGCCCCTGGAATATGAGCCGAAGCTGACCTCGGGGTGCTCCATGATGGACAACATGGGCACATTTAGCTGAGACGAAAAGCTGGTCTTCAGTGCCAGTATTGTACTCAACATGCCAATATACTTTGTGGACTCGTTAGCGCAACACAGAGAAAATGGGGCCGAGCCTGATAGCAAAGAAAAAAAGAGATTTTCCAAAGACAGATTAGAGCCAGTCCTGAACGACCTTGCCAGAGTGCTCAAACCGACGCGACAACGAGCTCTGCGTAAGTAAACAACAAAGGACTACCCCACAACTACCACAAAATCGGGAACGAAATACTCAATCTGCGCTGTACAGGTATTCAATTTTTTTACAATATTATCCAAGCGCAGCCTCAGCAGGAAGAAATAGCTAACATGGCTGTGAACTTGGAAGCGGAAGAATTTTTCCAGCCGTGCTGCGACCCACAGTTAATTGGAACTTCGCGGCCTGGCACGAGGAAAACATGGATGCAGTGAATGGGATTTTTGGTCCTTGACCTGGGCTTGACTTTGAGCTGATCTACTCACCTCCCACCGCTTAAGGAGCTGCATCTGCGCCTTGATCCTTGAAGGGTATCGGGGATCATTTCCATACTTTGCGCCAGAGGAGTTCTTCAACGAAATCTTCGACTTAAAGGCTGACTTTTGGAGCTTGGCGCTGGTGCTCGCACGTTTATGGCGAAAGGATAGCAAGAGGTTAGTGCAGAAACCAGGACACGGTGAGCTGATCGATCGCATCCGACAATACCTGGCAAACGTTGCGAGCGTCCTTGGCGGCGTCACAGAGGAGAGGTTCTGCGACGAAACGCGACTGCGCATGAAAAAGTACGACAAGTTTGAAGATGTGCTCAGAACAGCGCCAGCAGAATGCAGCCTCAATAAGCACCTGACTGAACAGCAGGACAAGCGTCCTGATGTCAGTATTCCTCCCGCTGCTGTTGAGCTACTAGGTGATATGTTGAAGTATGACCCCGAGCAACGAATTTCTGCAGCAGAAGCCTCTGACCATGCATACTTCGATAGTTAGGACAAAACTTACAATAAAGAATTTTACTTCAAGTAAATGAAAGGAATAGGACATACATGTACATGTATGTACAGTCAACTTCGCTAATAACGGCTGCGAATATAACGACAATTCGCTAATAACGGCTGCGAATATAACGACAATTCGCTAATAACGGCTGCGAATATAACGACAATTCGCTAATAACGCCTGCGAATAATTATAACGACAATTCGCGAATAACGCTGGACAGCATTTCCATGTCCAGAGCGAAGTCCGATCTAACCTGTATACATAATATGTCCGAAGTCTCATTATATTGCGACTTCGGGTATATGGACACTTCGGGAATAAGGACACTTTTCTGATGCCCCGCCGCGTGTCGTTATACGCAAAGTTGACTATATACGAGTTAAGAGTAACTCTCCATCACTGTATCCAGATACTATATACATGTACAGTCAGAAAATGCAACAACTAGGCACAAAATTGACAGAGTACTGAGACATCCGAACTCCGGCAGGGCAGGGTTGGGCCTTTTTTTAAACGAGAGAGCTTGGAAGCTCAGGGCCCTACGCTATGCTTTGTTGCTTAGCTCATCGTGCATGTTGTGGGAACTGATGGAAATGTTTCCTGAGACTGCGCTGACTCTGCCGATCACGGGCGTTCTGGAGTCGACAGGATCTCTCTCCCGACGTTTCCTGTGACCGGCGCTGACTCGCCCGTTCACGCCTATTTTGGGGACGACGCGATCTCTCTTCCAAAGTATGTTTTTGCGGACGCATCCTATCACCTATTCGGCAACTAACATCCATTCTAATATCATTTCCTCCTCGTCTTCCTATTTCTTTCCAGAAAGTCTCCCTATACATCAGGGAGTCGTACTCTATTGACAGCTACCCTAACGGGTCACGCCGCGCTCCACCCAAGCAAGGGTATGATGAGGGACAGTGGCAACAGAAACAAACAACAGCAAACAGAGAGAGATAGCAAGAGAAAGACAGCGATAGTAGTACATCTGGTGTGCGACGTGTAGAAAAGAGAGATGACAAGAGATGCGCACAAAAAAGGAAACAATAATATTATTTTTGCAGTTCCGAAACAATCAACCCTGTGATGGAGTGTGGGCACCCGAAGTCCCACCTGGACTCCACTGGAAGAACATCCCACGCAGGGATATCAGCGATAGGCCAAGCGTTAAAGAACAGCCATGAGGACACATCGTCTAGGAGTCCACCGCGCTCGAACTGCAATTGCAGATTCAAACAATTTCCCACGCGTCGTCAGGCAGCGTAACTCTTCTCCCTGCATCACCATCCATCTCCAGTAACCGTCTCCACTCACAGCTCATGCCTCTGCCACCACTGTACTCCTCCGTGGTTCGCAGTTTGAAACCATTCGGGGGTCAGCT